CACTGCCCATGGATATCGCTTATATTTAGACATTATTTTCTAACATCATCAAAAAATATATATCTTATTCTTTTCATAAAACATTAAGCGATTAAATTATGTTGTTTACGCTAACCCCAAATTCACTGTAGCCTGTGATAGGTGTTCCTCCCTCATCTAATATCGCTTTCTCTTTTTCTGCTACATATTTCTAAAATATTTAAAGAACAGAAAAAAAGTAAGTAAAAATTGGTAGTATTTGCGTATGCAAAATGACTGAGTGCATGTTGGTATTTATTTTTCCATAACATCTCTTATAAATATTTAGATATTTAAGTTAAGTAGAAAGAAAAAAATAAACGTCTTAATAACCCTAAAGATATTTACGTTTACTTCTTCCTTCCACTTTAAATTTTTCATTTTTTGTGCTTGCACTAATTGGTCACATAACCTCAGAACACTTGAGTGGCTTGAGCTGAGTCCCAAGTTATTGAAATACCTGAAAAGCTGCAAAAAACAGACAATGATGTTTTAATAAATCTAAATAATATTTTTTTATTTGCCATTTAATTTATAATATAAATGTATTAATATATATATTTATAATGTTAAAAACGAAATCAATATAATTATATCTAATCAGTGTGGAGATGTCCATATATTACTATATAATGTGTGCACGCATTTTCAAAACATTTAATATGGACAAAACACTAATTTTATATATGTTAAAACAAAAAGACAAATATTTAAAATTTTGTTTGGGGGCATTTTATATTGTTTAACATTAAATTGCAATTACCCTTTGGGAGCACCCTGATCTCCACATTTCTACGCTGATAAAGCCTTGCAAAAATGTATGGCGTCTTGGGTGACGGCTGTGATTCAAAATGGCACAGGCCATACCAACTTGATGTTTTTGCTTCTGAGTAATCGATCTATTAAAACATAAATAAAAGAATTTAAATAATTAACATTAAAGTACAATTATAATAACGAAAAATTATTAAAATAAATAATATTTCGATGTAATAGATAGATAGATAGATAGATAGATAGATGTTATTTTAGAGGTTTCTACTTACTTTTTTGTTTATTTCTGCTGCCGCAAGTCTACAAAAGGGCAAAAGTAAGTGGCATGGCCTTTTTTATTTTTGACGTGTACTTCTTAACCCATTCAAATTTGTTTGCATTGTCAGTAGTAAATTTTTCATCTTTATTCTTGACTATTTTTATTGTTTCTTTTCTTATAATTTTGTTAAATAATTTAAAAATAGATTTTCTCGCAGGGAAACTTCCCTCGTATAAAATACTGAACAGGCTATCATAGTGGCTCTGTCGTAGAGCTGCCACGGCTCTCTCTATGAAAGAGTTCCTATCGCTGGTTACTGCCTGTAATTTGCAATGAATAAGAAAACCATTAGTGATGTTTTTGACACAAGTGCAATACTTGATGGCAATATCTTAAATGTAATTATGAATAACATCAAAATTGAGAATAAAATACCAACACGTGTTCTTTTCCTTGATCTAGATCTGCTTGTGTGTAGGCTCCTATTGCTCATGATGTCTCTTCTGATGAATGACTAAGGAGCATAGGATGTCGTACGTTTTTATAGTAGATTCTTAGTCGCTGTACCCTCTTTCGCAGACTTATTTAATTTCTGCTTAAAAATAAAAAAAAACCTTTCCAGGCATCTGTACATGATTGCTGTGTAATTTTTGATACCCTTTAAAATATAATATCTCCATGAATGGGTATTTTATTACATCTCTTAGCATATTAATTGATGAAAACGCATATATAAGAATGAACCTGCGAATTGCGTATGTGGGTATGTGAACATTGATCAGGGATCCAAATACCAATCGCTTGGACGTCACGGCTGAGGCTACATCAGGATGCTATGCTTGACGAATTTCCTTTTATTTCATTTTATGGATGACATGCTCTGGAGTTCCTAAAACTACTGGGAGAGGACGCAAAAATATACTTAATAAATTGCAGCTAAAGTAAAAAAAAAATTCAAGGCTGGAAAGGAGAAATGAACCGCAGAACAAAACGTCGTCATTCACTCTGATAACACAGAAAAGTTACCAGTCATCTTTGCATCACAATAAACGACTTGACTTCAAGGCCACCGTACATCTTTACCTCTTCCTCCATTTATGTTGTCATTGCAAAAAATAAATGAATAAATAAATAATTGAATAAATAAATAATAAAAGAAAAATAAAGAAACAGATAACAAAAATAAGTAAAGTTTTTTATTTTTCCTTTTAATTTTATTCTTCTGCGTATTTTGATAAAGGGCTCCGTAGAAAAAATAGTATTAATAATAAAAAACGTCCTCTCTGCAGCTTGCAGAGATATTCAAAATGGCGTCAGATTTTGGGAGCACCATCTTGACCTCGTTAAAAAATCGCAATGGAGTGGAAAGTATTTCTTGGAGGTTGGCCACCCATAGTGATGTATTCCCTTCTGGGTAGGACCACCATTTCCCCTGATCCTTTAAGACTGATAATGATGGCGACTGAGTTACTAAATCTGCTGAGCTTTGACTGTCTTTTGTTTTGATTCAAACGAGACGCGTGGTCAAATCCATAAATTGTCCTAGTTTGTGCAGACAGAAATGTCTGAAAGACGAATACTGTCAATACCAAACCTCTCACCATATTTTTCATGCAACAGCACGATTTGATGACCGGAAACTCGGCTGCCCAGTCTCAATCATTTAAATTTTAGTATGTAAACCGATGCATTTCCTTGCTTTATTGGTGTCACCGCGGGTGACAGGTCGTCCTGCCAAAGATATCTCAACTGAATGAACGCTCATTAGTGCCCGTGGTATTTCTCTTTACCTTCCAACCGCTGTTGTAAAGCTAGCTACGTGAACAAGGTCAACCACATCAGCATACTTGTCACACAAAGTCTTCTCTTCGAAGCCTTGACCTTTCAAATCATTGATGTACTGAACGTTCTTTACTACACATACAGGCACACGATTGTTCAGGTGAACAGTAGTTTAACTGCGGTAGTCAGCTTAATTGTTCGAACCTTCGTTCGAATGCGTTTTTTTTTTTTTTTTTTTTTTTTTTTTTTTTAAGTCCAGTAAAGTAAAAATTTACCCAAGAGCTATTCCAGGATTTAAGCAGCATTTGAAAATGAAAACAAAGAAAAAGGACACGAAACCAGAGAACACTGTAGAGTAAACGGTGCATATGATTTAGTTTCTTAGTGCGTGTTGAAGGTAGTGTTTAATCCTCGTACGAAGAAACCATAGAAGGCGTATTATTTGAAATCACTGCGATTGAAACCAAACAGTCACATCAACAAGTGGTTCAAAGTTGTCATATACTGGTGTATAATATTGATAACAACCCCCAAATTATTGTCCCTATGAATTTTAATATGAAGACATTTAGATCCATTGTGGCAGTGGAAGGCTCTTATGGTAATGTCGATTAATTACATATCCGAATCGATCTCCAAATTGAATTAAAAATTGGTCATCAACCTTTGACATGAGCAACTCGGTGTTCGAAGATATGAAAATGTCGAATATTTATCGAAAATTCTGTCATTTTAAGGAGTTGTGGGCTGTGAAATCACTCTGAGCAAAATGAAGGGCACGTTTTTTTCTTCCGTCGTACTGTTGGCTACTTGAATGGCTCTGCCGCCCATGAAGAACGAAGGTTCACTTTTATTATTTTTGTCTTATTTGTCTCACACCTAATGTAAACCTGGAAACTTGCTGTAAAGTAAAAACATCCATGTTTATTAGGGAAAACTTAACTGAGTTTAAGATTAGATTTAGTATAGGGGTTGAATCTCAACGCTTTTAGGGTTATAGGCCTATTTGGGGAGTTTTGAAGTGGCTAAATGTAATGAATTCAAAGTCAGTCGGCATTTCAAAAGTTCAAAAGGGATCCGAAAATATTACTACGTATTCCAGGATTTTACTCTTTATCAAGATCTAACCAGCAACACTTCTGTAGCAGTGTGCACATACAAAAAAGCTACCCTCTACCAGAGTGGCAGATTACATAGGGAAAAACGGAAAAATCCAGACCAAAATGACTGTCTGTGAAAAATCAATCTGTTGCTCTGGTAGAGGGTACAAAAAGCGACAAAAGTCAGAAGAAGATAATGAGTTTAGCTCTCTTTCTCTCGTTCTCTTTTGTATTGCGTGACGTCTGTTCATAAAATGTGTCGATGTCACGAATGTTCAACACAAACTTCATTTGAAAATCGTGACCACATGAAAAAATATTCCATATATTTTACAGGAAGGCTTTGTTATGGGCGACATCAATAACAAAACCTTCTTCTAAACCTAATGGCGATGATGTCTTGGAATAATAAATAAAATAAATAACTAAATAATACGAATTATTCATCCGTTTTTACTAAGGGAAGTCATTTCTTTTCGGAAATGCGTGCTGTCTCGCTGACAAAGGTTACAATATGAGGCTAACACGCAACAACTACCGGGGCTGATGTACACCGCCGATCAGCAATGCCAGATATATGGAAGTGGTTCTGAAATGTGTATAGTGAGTGACATCTCCAAGAATACAATGTATATTTCAGAACTTTCTAAAACGCGTGGGCTGTGCCTTGGATAAGGAAATGTTACGTTTCGTTGAAAAGTTTTTAAAAAACGCAGATACAACCGATTTTCGTGGAGTTTTTTTTACCCATCTTGTAACTGAACAAATACATCATCAAAAATTTTAATTATCGTGTAGATCTTTTATCTCTCGGTGCGACGACAACACAACACAACCGATGTTCGATGTCGTAAAATCATTTCAATCGGTCGTAAAATCATTTCAATCGAGTGTTTGATATTCAATTAAGTCTCCCATGTTATAATACGTTACTGAAAAAAGTCTACTTTCGATAAACTCGAGTTTTATTACCTCATCCTTCATTATGAGAGAAGGGGGGAGAAAATGAGCTACCCCGGCACACGAACGCATTTTAAAACAGACAACGCCATTCAGTGCATGGTAAACGTATATTTCTAATTGCTGTATATGGAGTGTTTATACACATTCGAAATCTCATTTGACAGAGATTTAGACATACAATGAAAGTATTAAATCCGACTGTACAGTCGTTGCGTAGCAAAATATCGGTTCACGCTAAGGCATTTATATTCTACTCTTATCTTGATATAAACATGAAAAGTTTAAAGTTTACCAACTTATATAAAGAAAAATATTGCATTACTTCGGTCCAGTGTACACTTAATGTTCTTTTTTAGATACGGTATATAGTATTATATTTGCTCGTTTTCTTCGGACAGCGTAATACGACATCTATCATGTGCAGCGTCCTGAATTGGTTGTAAGCGCCTTTTTGGTAACGAATTATTTGCCAGCTGAAAAATAGAAAGTATGCCCATAATATTTATGAAAAAATATCATTATATAGTTTGCGAGCAATGTTTCTTATAAGGGTCTTGAAATTTAAAACTGTAGTTTTTCCAAGATATTCGGTGGCTTTAACCAAAGTCTATTTATAATTACTCTACGTTTATAAATCTTATAAAAATCATGTAAATACATTTTACTATAATACAACTTAAATATTAAGAGAGGATCAAGCAAGAGTATCAAACTGTAAAAAAACTTTATGAAGCCATTTTGCTTTTAAGAAAAAGAATATAGTTTAAAACTTAAATATTACTTCTATAATGATGATACTACAGACGGTGCATTTATGTCATGTTATTGTACTAATCTTACGGAAAGAAAATGATACCACTATTTCCGTACAAACACCCGCTACTGAGAAATGCGCAAACAATACGTGTAAAGACGAAAAACTAAGAACCCTGCTAAAATTAAAATCTGAACATTCACCATTCTTTAATATAGTAAATTCAGGGGCCCTTAATGGCAACGTGATGTATTTTTATTAGCAGAAATTAAATAATAATAAATAAATAATTATTAACTGTCATGAAATAAAGAAACCCAGGCAGAAATGCAAACACATGTACTAATTAAGTCTAAAAATTAATATCGGCAGTACCATGTTAACTTCTAATATATCTAAATTAACTACAACCAACATTGCAATTATCTAGATTGCAAAACAAATTACGAAGCATGCATGAGGTTTTTCATATTGCCGGGGTTGGAGGATGGTACGGAATCGGGGCGCCGGAATCATACATTACCAGATTAGGAACAAGTAATACAGCAAGTGTTTTTCACGAATGAGGAAATGTTGCAATACGCTGCGTATCTGGAGCACCAGGAAGCGTTGTCGGCGCAGACTGGAAGTGATCAGGGACACAGCGTTTCACATTTTGTATTTATTTTGTATTTATGCACATTGAATCACAAGGGGGGGGGGGTATTTTGCCGAAAACATACGCCCAACCATGGTCAGTGAAAACCTTTTTTTTTTATATTAGATACACGTAGGTTTGAATGTGCTCATGAATTTTTAGAAGTAATATATAGTGCCATTACATCTGCCGCCGCATAGGCTATAAAATATCAAAAGCAATGACAGTAAGAAAGAAGCTGAAAGGTTAATTCAGAATAACAACGATGTTAGCTAGTACAATATCTAAGCAAACAGCTGCGTAAACAACGACAGAAGCAGGTGCATGGCCTGTCACAAGTTGGTGACCATGCAATCCAGTTAAACAGTAGCATTATTAGTATTGTAAGCAGCGCCAGGAAACTGTATAAAAGATAATAGTAAAAAAAAAACGCCATGGCGAATCCAGGGTGTGGGACACAGTGGGTCACGTTCCCTTCTTCTCAGCTTTAAAAGTGCCCATTCACTTTGTCCAATGTTCATATCCATGTGTCCTATATATCACAGTATAATTACCATTTATCTTATATTCTTATATATGAGTGAAGCGAAATTAAAAAAAAACATCCTTGTCCCCCACCCTCCCCTCTAAGCAAAAAACCCTGGATTCGCAAGCGAAGTGCACGCTGATCTCACCACGAAGCTATTAGTAACACTGTTAGTCCTTGCCGACTGAAACCTTAACAGAAACCAAAAGCAGCAAAAGCGAGACGTGCCAAGTGGGCCATCTTATCACATAGGCGGATCCAGGGGCCGCAGAAATGCGAAGTAGGGAAAAAACATTACGCAGAAACCAATTTCTGTGAAACTGCAAAACTTTCATAGTTTTGACAAATAAGCCCACCCACGAGGCAGAGGTGGTAGTTGGCTGGGCTGCAAATAAAATTTCCCGTTCAGATATTCTGGATCCGCCGTTGTAACAATAAAGTTGTTAAGTGAACTGCAATAAATTCCAGAGTTTTAACAGCGTCAGAGAAGCAGATTTCAATGCTCACTTAAAAGGTGCTCAGTGATTGTTCAGAAACTTGATTAAAGAAATCACCACTTCAAAAGTACCTCGTCAACCTCTATTAGAGCATGTTGCACAGCAGCGACTGCGAATATATCTGTAATTACAGTACCGAGCGTATGCTCTGCACCAACTGCGAGTATCAGTACAGTTACTAGTCGAGCCTGGAAATAATCATTGGTACGAAGTCTCTTTACCAAATGATAGATTTTGGCAACATCAAACGTGTCAACCTTTATTACTGCTACATAATATTATCATATCTGCTTAAAAATATATAAGTTGACTGCTGTTAATTTTAAAAAACCTGAAAAAAGCAGGGCGTATCAACAGATTTAATGCATGTATGCGCTGGGAGTGATAAGGCAACCATGACATCGTTCGTGTGAAGATATTATACGCAGTAATCTTGTTTAAGCTTGAAAACGCGAACGAAACTGGAAATTGGAAATTCGAGAAGTAGTCCTTTTGCTATTAATTATCTTAAATTATCATAACCTGTGAAAATGACAGTCTTTAAAACGCGACTTAAAATAAATGCTGGTCATTAAAAACAATTCTTTTCTAATCTGAATAATTCTATTTATTATTTATTATAAATATTTACCACAGGATCCTCCAGTGCAACTCCCTCCTTGTCGCAGACGCGTGTAACAACACTGGTTGTTATAGTAACAACCCTGTCCGCCATTGCTGGGGGCGGGGTCGTCACAGTACTTGACGCGGGTTCTCCTGCAGCTTGAGTCACACGTGCTCCAGGCCTGCCATGAGCCCCAATTGCCGTCAACTACAATTCATGAAAGTATAATTCATACACAATAATATTCACACAATACTGTATGTAGGCAATATTCACACAATTTTGTAGGCGTGATATTCATAAGACTCCACAAATGCATTACATGGAACGAAAAGTATACCGATCTTACCTAATACACGTACATGTACCTCAGCTACCAGTGCTTCGAACGGACTTGAATATTCACATGTAATTTTATGTTAATATAAATCAAATTATTTGAAAAATAGCTTCTTCATGAAATCAAGATACATTTTCCCATGACAGTCTGGTTGAAGCTTTGCTTATAGCCACATGATGACAATAAATGTAGACAGATAGACAGAACAGCAGAATTGCAGTCAGATGTAAAAGGACAGTGCGGCAATTATGAAACAGAAACCGTTTTTTCTCATTACCAGCATTGCCACAAGGACCAGCATCACACGAAGTCCTGCCGGTCAGCCGGTTGTACTGACACACTCCGTTGTAGCAGCAGTAAGAACCACCATTTGAAGGTGCCGGGTTGTTACACAGTTTTTCTCTCGTCTTGAGTCCAGATCCACAGGTGGCGCTGCAGTCTGACCAGGAACTCCAGTCACTCCAATTGCCGTCAACAGCGCCATCTATGAAAAACAGCAGTATTTTTTGCAGAATTAAATGGTGGTTGAGTTAGTTTTCCATTTTTTTTTCTTTTTTTAATATAACAAAGTGAATTGAATTCATGGGTTTTACACACATGCCTCTCCTATAGGGTCATTTTGAATACTTAATAAATGTTTAATTTCATATTCATAATGTTGAAAAATATAGTTTGATGATTGTCTTAGAATCACTTGCCATCGCATTTGGTACCTACCATTACAAGCAGCGGTATTGCATGCTTCAGACTCGCTGTCAACTCCGTCACAGACGCCATTTTCGCAGGTGCGCGTCCTTGTTGTTGTTCCTCCACCACAGGTGGCGCTGCATGTTGACCACGAGCCCCACTGCGTCCATGTACCTGTTTTACATGAGAAAAAACATGCAGATTAATAACATATTTAATAATATAACAACATGTACTTAATCATATACAAGATTGGAAGCTATCCAGGCCAAGTAGTATGACCGGCGTAACGAAAATGGGGATCCGTGCAACAGAGAATCCGTCCTCCATTTAGTTATAATGGTTAGGGTTAGCCTGACCCGATTGGGTCAATATCTAGGACTAGGCTAACCTGTACAAATGAATGGGAAGCGTACACTCTATCATAATGGACTCTCTGTCACGTTATACCGGCACATAGGTTAACATTTTTCTTAGTAAAGATCTTACTTACATGTACACTCATTTGGGTTCTTTTGGTCATGAGTTACAAATGTTTACATACTAATTAGGCCGAACTATGTTTTTTAGTCACAAGCAGGAACGCTCTCATTTGTTGGTGTTACTGGCAGAAGGAACTGCATCACAGAGTCACCCATAAAGGTGTGATACATTATATGTTTAACCAGGCGAATTGCTTTAATGAGATCGAAATGCTTCACCCCCTCCTCCCCGTCCATCCCCCCTACCCCCCCCCCCCCCCCCCCGGAAAACACACTCAAAAGAGTACGCCCCACTCCACTCACCCGGGCAATCACCTCCACCACAGCTGTTAGTCTCAGAGCTCACCCCCGGACAGGTCCTGGATTGATGATGATAATAATATATCAATTATTTGTTTCTTCAAACCTAGGAGTTATAACTCCTTGTTCAAACCAACGATACACGGAGCTTTTTAAACATGTTACACTTAGTAAAACCAAAATTCACTAACATAGATTCAAAACTAATTAAAATGGACAAAAGACATTAAAAACATAAAAATAACCATAAAATATATTACTGACAAAAATATTTTTCTTAACAATACTGTTTTTCTTCTTGTTCCTCTTCTAACCATTAGAGCCTATTTACGTACTCTACCACCAGAATGTGCATTTATTATGTGGATCACTTCATAACGAACTTACTTTTATCTTGTACAAATGGTCAAATGTCTGTTCAGTAAGGCCAAGGTCACAATATCTTAGTAAAGCACTCGAAGAAACATTAAATGACAATTGTACAGTTATGGTAATTAAATGTGCAGAGAGTATAAAAAATTGTAGGGAGACTAATAAGCAGGTAGCCAGAGAAAACATATATACTGGTAGAATGGTGAAGGAAACCACATTTATTGTCTTTTACTAGTATATATCCCTCTCTTGGTGCACAGGGAAGAATGCCCCCAACAAAATTATACTATTTAACAACATTAAAGCCTTGATTCTTACGAGCCATCTCCTTCGCAAGTTCTCGTTCTTGTCTGAGTTCCACCACCGCACGTGACTGTGCACGTGGACCAGGAACCCCACTCTCCCCAAGCGGAGGCTGAAAAGAAACAACAGATATGCCCATTTAATTTAGGAACGAATACTTAAATATTTAAGATATGTCAGTAGTTGAAAAATACTTTATAGGCCTTCTTGCACGGAGGTAATAAATCCCATTTTACAATGTGAGATGTGCAAATAAAAACCGTCTATAACATCACTTACCCTATAAAAAGAAACTTATACAAAACATAACAGCTCCTGGAAATTTTTCTCCATACGTACACATACACTTGTAATAATCAGATTAAACGTCTTACTTGTACAATCGTTGGTGTTGCAGTCCTGGGATTCTGAGCTGTCGCCAACACATGAGCTCCCTCCGTCACATGTCCTCGTTCTAGTTTGGGTTCCTCCACCACATGAAACTGAACACGAGGTCCAGGCACCCCACTGGGTCCAAGTTGGGGCTAAAAATCCAATTGTCTTAGTGTACGTGTACTATAGCACATATTAAAACAGGCACCCTTTCAAAATATTTTCTGCACAACATCGACAACAGGCATGTGTGGCAATTTTCAGGACAGTATATTCCAAACCATTATAAATGGTGGATCACTATACATTCCATTTGCAAGTATTTTAAGTTAGTATATTAAGTTATTATTTTTAGTATTATTATTATTATTTTTATTTTAGGTAATAAATCCCATTGAACAATGTGAGATGTGTGAATAAAAATCGCATATAACATCACCAATCCATACTCTATAAATAACCAACTTATACAAAACATAAAAGCAACTGAATATTTTTCTCCATACGTACAGTACACATACACTTGTAATAATCAGATAGAACGTCTTACTTGTACAATCGTTGGTGTTGCAGTCCTGGGATTCTGAGCTGTCGCCAACACATGAGCTCCCTCCGTTACATGTCCTCGTTCTAGTTTGGGTTCCTCCACCACATGAAACTGAACACGAGGTCCAGGCACCCCACTGGGTCCAAGTTGGGGCTAAAAAGCCAATTGTCTTAGTGTACGTGTACTATAGCACATATTAAAACAGGCACCCTTTCAAAATATTTTCTGCACAACATCGACAACAGGCATGTGTGGTAATTTTCAGGACAGTATATTCCAAACCATTATAAATGGTGGATTACTGTGTATTATATTTTTCAAGCATTTTAAGTTATTATTATTATTATTATTATTATTATTATTATTATTATTATTATAAGTGGGTTAATTTTGGGCAGGATTTCCACCCTTTGAAAAAATCTTTGAAACAAAAATTTCATTCCCTTAATATATCCCTAATATACTCACTAGCAGGGCAAGCACCGGTGTTACAGTCCTGAGATTCGGTAGCGCTTCCAGGACAGTCACTTCCGCCATTACATGTTCTTGATCTTGTCTGACTTCCGCCAGCACACGTGACAGTGCACGTGGTCCAGGCAGACCAGTCAGACCAGGTTCCACCTTCAAGAAAATTGAGGCATTTTAACATATAGCTGGACCACGTGTGATTGTGCACGTCTTCGGTATGTTCACATTGTTTGTGTAGGTACGCGTACTGGTATTGTTCAACTGTTTTACTTAAACACATATTTGGATAATAGTTTAAGATTATAAAATTATGTCTATGTGATTGTGATTGTGGTTGTGCACGTCTTTGGTATGTCCACATTGTTTGTATAGGCACGTGTACTGGCATTATTTAACTGTCTTATGCTAACGCAAATTTGGATAAGTAATAGTTTAATAGTCTTAAATTATATCTTTGTGATTGTGATTGTGCACGTCTTTGCATTAATGTCCGCATTCTTTGTATAGCTACATGTACTGGAATTATGTAACTGCTTTACGCTTTAAGATTTTAAAAGGTCATCCTTGAAAACATGACTTACAAGCGTTTGCATTGCATCCTTCAGTCTGTGAACTGTCACCGGCGCAATTTTGACCAGTTGGACATGTACGGGTGCGCGTGCGTGTACCTCCCCCGCACGTGGCGCTGCATCCGCTCCACTGGCCCCAATCATTCCAAGTACCTTCAATATAAATAAATTGATTAATTAAAAAATGAATAATTATATAAATACATTTTCTCGGGTCTGTAGCAAGAAGTGGTTCGGGGGATTCGAAAAAAAAAAAACACCCTTTTTGTCATGATCAGGGAAAGGTCCATTATGGGTAAAATTTGGTCTAGGTGCACAAAAGTTTCATTGTCAAAGGTCCACTTTTTCGATAAAAGAACCCGTTACCCCCCTTTGAACTTGTTGACTACGGGCCTGGTTTCTCGTATATACCTGTCAATTTAGATTGCTCATGATAGTAACACTGGATGCAACAGAAACCGGAAGCCTTGATTTGAGCGTTGGCGCACAAAGTGTCGCCATCTCGGGTGATGGCTGTTTTGCATGTTTCCCATCCCTGGCCGACGTTAATAGACGAAGCGTCCCCATCAGTGCACAGATCACCGGGCCACCCTGAAAAATAAATACATTATATATAAATAAATCATTTTCAAATTGATGTTTTTTTTGGTGGTTGAAAGGGTGCTTTGTTTTAAACATGCTGTAAAATTACACTCTATTAGGTACACGAGCTGGAAATGGAGTGCCCGCACCCCCATGTATCCGTCTATACGAAAGACCATTGATGGGCACTACTGTATTATTGGCTGGAAAGTATGTCCTTTAACTTAATTTACAAAAAAAGCTTTTTCTTGCCAACACGAGAAAAAAATACTATCGGATAAACATTGTCCACTGTTTTTGAAAATCTATTTCACCGTAACCAAACCTTTTGTTGTCCACATCATATCGAAAGTTCTCGCGGTCTCTCGAGAAACAAATTTTGTGGATGCAAAGCCGACCCCCCCCCCCTACTTAGCGTGAGATTCGGGGCCCAATGAAGGTCCCCGAATATTTTTGATATTTTAGAGGGCGAACGGTGCCATTTGGTACGGTTTAGAACTATGATTCATCAAGTCAAAATTGTAATATCAAGAGGGGACGAGAAATCGAAGGGGGGGTGGGGGTCAGGACCCCCCTGACCCCCCTCTAAAACCATCACTGCGTGTGAAGCGATTCATACTTACCATATGGGCACCACGAGGTTGTCTCACCGCTGTCGCCGTGGGACTGTGGCAGGGCGGCACTTTTGTCAACACATGAGCCCTGGATGCACCACTTATTTGTGTCGCAGTCAGTGCCATCTGCCGGCGGTTTAAACCCGTGCGTACATCCGCCAGACGTCTGGCTACAGCTCAGGTACTGACAGTAGTTTGAAGATCCAAATGTCTGTAACAAAATGCAGAAACGAGCCTTNTTTTAAGTAATGGAGAAAACGCTGAAATAACAAGAAGCCTCACAACATTACGTCGTATGAGACCCTATCGTACTTACTGTGGATCAATCTATCTATCTCCAAGTGGGCTCTCGCTAAATTGCAATCAACTTAAGCGGCTTTGACGTCTGTCATGCCTATTGGAGCTGCCAAGGGGTAATCAATCATCGTTTATCAGCTTCAGTAGGCGTGCCACACATCTTAGCTGCTTAAGCTGAAAGCAATTTAGCGAGAAACCCTTCGGAGATGGATCGATTCTGTTAGGTCGATCTAGGTATGGAAACCCACTCACAGACAACACATACCCTACACATCGATGAACTCGAACCATATAACATCTGGCACTGCTGATTAGCGGTGTACAGTTGCCCAGGAAGATGCTGTGTGTGTGATGCAAATTCTTCAGAATTTTCATAGTGGCCTTCGTCAACGAGGCAACACGCTTCACTGAAATGTATTGGCATGAGACATAATTTGAAGATCTAAGTTCGTCAACAGACAGACAACTCAACAATCAGATTTGTATGAATTCAAATGAAATGAGTTAACAGTGTGTGTGTGTGTGTGTGTGTGTGTGTTAGTGATCGTGTGTGTGTGTGTGTGTGTGAGAGAGAGAGAGAGAGAGAGAGAGAGAGCTGATGTCTGTAGGACTTATACTCACGCCAATCCTACTTTGAAATTTGCAACGGAACAAGTGGAGAAATAATAGCCTTTTGACGGATCCGAGCTGCCAGATGATGGCGCCATAATGAACCCATCGCCGGCGGAACAAGCCCTATTGTCATAAGACGTTCCCCCAGAAGTTCCAGCCGAACCGTCATGGTAAGCTCCAAGACTGAAACACACAGAGAGAACCTTCAGGACTGCTTATAAAACTCGAGTAAAATTTTCGCGGATTTCTTTGTCAGAATCAATTCCAAAAACGATGCCAAATAGAGAAAGGAATTTAATAATACGAACAAAATATCTAGTAGCTTAGAAGAGAGAGAACCAGTTACTGAAATGCACTTATTATGTGAAATACAGCAATATAAAAATGACCGATATGAACAGTGAATATAATCACTCAGGCTGATCGGACCTCGGCTGGTATTTTCAAACAAAATACAAACTGATTTACGGTTATCACTAGTAGAACAGATTATGTTCCCATGGTCTTGTTTAACAACAGCCATAAGCTTAAAAATTCTTCTAAACTTTTAAACAAAACTTTTAATTAAATATGACATAAAATATATGAGAGGTAGTCAATTCAGTGAAACATCACGTTGTTCTATAACAAGAGTGACATTGCCAATGTTCCAGACCAATACTAAAAGGAATTCAAACTAAAGTAGAGCAAACTTTAGTTTTCTAAACTGTTCTGACCAATTTCGGACTACAGTTCGTGTGTGCGACAGGCGGCTCCAGTTTCACTTACTTGTGACCCAGTTCATGGGAAGCGGTGATGAACGAATTAAAGCCTCCGAAAGATTCAACGATAGAGCAGGAACTAGACCTGGAGCATATGGCGCCAGTTCTCGCCACTCCGGCAACAGCGGTATCGGTCTGAGTTGTAACTATTTCACGCCTAAAATTTAATATGACAAGTGATTAATACCCATGTACATATACTATGTCAAACCCTGATAGCCTTAATGTGTCGTTGTTAAAAAGTACATGCGATCCAGAAATTGGGGGTACGCAACATTGGGATGGAGAATAGATATAATTTAATGTGCCATGTCTACCTGAAAATATGAGAAACTTAGGGAGGGGTGTGTACATCTTTCGCTGCCAATGATCTGTCTATGTAGGTTTTACATATATTAAGTAAACAAAGAAGTGCTTAATTCCAATGATTTTTGTTAAAAAACAATACCGAAAACATATTATTAGTCTGTAAATTACATTAAGAAATGGAGTGGTGTAAATTAATCTCAAATGGCAATATACTCACATAGTGAATGCCATTCCGTGATCATGTTCGCTGAAAGAACCGTAGTTGTCATTACGGTACTTGCACCAGTCATTCAGGGAGGATGTTTTATTCACCATTTTCCTTCCGTTTTTCTCCGGTTCCCCTGGTAGCACGTTATTACTAAACCAAGGAGCCCCACCGGCGCCCTGAGGAATATAGAAGCTTACCGTTTTTAAATCTTGGCAATCCAGCGGAGTCTATTACACAGTATCGCCACCTTCCGTAATATCTTTTCCCCTTAAAACATTTTGCCACTACCGTACGCTTATTTACAGTTAAAGCGAGTTTAGACGTTTTAGGNAGGGAGGGGTGTGTACATCTTTCGCTGCCAATGATCTGTCTATGTAGGTTTTACATATATTAAGTAAACAAAGAAGTGCTTAATTCCAATGATTTTTGTTAAAAAACAATACCGAAAACATATTATTAGTCTGTAAATTACATTAAGAAATGGAGTGGTGTAAATTAATCTCAAATGGCAATATACTCACATAGTGAATGCCATTCCGTGATCATGTTCGCTGAAAGAACCGTAGTTGTCATTACGGTACTTGCACCAGTCATTCAGGGAGGATGTTTTATTCACCATTTTCCTTCCGTTTTTCTCCGGTTCCCCTGGTAGCACGTTATTACTAAACCAAGGAGCCCCACCGGCGCCCTGAGGAATATAGAAGCTTACCGTTTTTAAATCTTGGCAATCCAGCGGAGTCTATTACACAGTATCGCCACCTTCCGTAATATCTTTTCCCCTTAAAACATTTTGCCACTACCGTACGCTTATTTACAGTTAAAGCGAGTTTAGACGTTTTAGGCGCAATTGTTTCCCTTCTATGGCAAATTGCGTGGTTTAAACTAAGGAACTTATTAATCGTATAATAACGTGAAAACGACCAAGTTTCCATATCGTGACCTACGTGTACCCTTTACGTCTTAAAAAACAGCGAGGCTGATACATCTAATTCAATCTCATGATGCAGCAATAAGACAATTATTTACTTTGGATAATATCGTGCAGTTTGGTCGGCTATTGGGATAACGGAGTGACAATTGTTCGAACGAGGTGCACCACCACGGGTCGCTCATTAATTAAAATGCTTTATTTGACGTATTTACTTTCCCGTGTACCAACGATAGTTCTAGTTCTGTGCAGTGATCAGTTGAAGAATACAAAGCAAATGTTACCTGGACAATAGCATATGCTGCCAACACAACGTAAATATTCAAATCTGGATCCTCAATATTCTGGTAGCGAAGGTCCATCTGGAGAAAAAATGATTGTGACAATTAGTATATAGACCTTATTATTAAATCACTCGCACAAATGTAGGCCAAATGAAACCTAATATTTCGACATCACAGCTAACAATGTCGTTATTTGTTCTGCGTAGACCTATATATAGACACTGCAGTCTTAGCGTCCTTTAAAGGAATGGCATAACATTCTTTCTCATATTTTGATGGACACTCTTATTATTGGACACTCTTATATTCAGCATAAATTTTAAAAGTTTTCAGATTTATCTGAAATAAAACAACTAATCCATCGTATGAAATTAAATATCAATTAATGAGAGTAATGTGTGGTGTAATATTTTTAGGTTTCAGTGCATGTAGATCACTTTGAAACAATATGTATTCCGTAATTTTACAACAGTGGTCTTCCAAGTGACGTGCAATAAATTGACATGCCAAAATTCAAAGAAAGAAAAACTACCCCATTAGTTATCAGAGCGTAGTATCTTTTCAGTTCCGTTTCCGCCGCAGCAGCGTCTTGGTTATTCCGCCCCAAAAAGTAGGTCCAGATCGTGTCATCAGTGCACACCATGAGTTCCACGCTGGCGTCAATGTGGGACCCACTATATGTCTGTTTCTTGCTAAGTTCTATGGCTTTATCAGTTTTCTGCTTGTTAACAGCGGTCAGCACGTCCATCAGGGTCCGGAGGAGAGTGGACGCGTCGGCTGACCGGCGAACGTGGAGGTGAAGCTGACGACGTGTTGGTTTCTCTGTAACAAGTGGACATTTTAACAGTATGTGTTATTTATTAGGTAGAAAAAAACGCAATGGCCATGCATTCAATATTTATATCAAATAGAATGGAATTATAATCTGTTCATTAAATAATTGTACAATGCATGGATCGTAAAAAACTGGTTACCAAGAAGGTAAAATCGATGTCTCGTTAAAAGGGTAAACCTAAAGCAGTGTTTTTCTTTATTCTGTTATTAATTGAGTGAAAGTTCCAACAATTTCAGGCACGGATGAATATTTTAATGCATTATTATTTTATTTCGGGATTTATAAAAAACATGACTACCATGTTGTCTTAATACGGGTATAGGGCCTATACATGCAGTAACCATCTACATTTCTACGTAATGTAGCGCTCACACCGTTTGAGCACTGTTCAAATAGACACCAAAATTTAATGTTAAAACGTCTGAAAAAAGTTCTTAATCAGGCAAAAACTTTTAACCTGTTTTTACCTACCGGCATATGTGTCGACGTCTTCCTCTCCCGGGGGTTTTGATTCTATGTTCTGACGGGCCACGACGTATTTGTCGTCCTCTAAGTGACGAACTTCATACATTTGGTCTGCATCGATAACAAAACCCTCCTGTGAAATTTAAAAAATCTAATTTTTACAAGGTGTTAATGGAGGTAGGTATTATTGAGAGAGAGAGAGAGAGAGAGAGAGAGTTCAGTAGGTTAGCAAGACCTGACACGAATGCGATAGGAATTCTTAAACCATATGTCACTTTGGGTTCGTTTCGAATAGAGAGAAAAATCCCTATGTGTTCGTCTGGTAATCAAAAAGTCTGTGATATGTTTGCACGACAATGTATTTTACTTGTGGCGATTTTCGTTTCTTCTTACATTGAGGGGAAACTGAACTCACCATTTTCTTTTGATTTTTTGCATCTCTTTTATCGGTATATACTGCAACAGCGGCGTTGCTGGCCTTATCTTGATAGAGAGTGAAATCCTGAAACAGATGGCGTAGATGGAAGTGAAGCTATAAGTCTTATGTATAATTTCATTTGTGTAGGTTTCAAAAACATGTTCAAAATGGCTTATAACATTCGGACACTTAATCAATAATATAAATCAACTAAAAAGGTAGAGCGAAGACCTCCGCCAAGAAACGATGGAGAATCCTTTAAGCAGTTCTTGGATCCAAATGATGATCTGCATCACGGAGCACCAACAAAATCTTATCATCTTTAGGTTAGCCTATTTCCAGCCGATACTGAACATTTCATCAAAATCCATCCAAAACTTTTTGAGTTAGGCTGGTGACAAACAGAGAAACAGAGGTTAATTCATATCCTCTTTTACAAATTTTGGATTCCTTCTTAATCATACAACGCAAACATGGCAACCCAAAATAAAAACTTCTTACGTCATCGCTCCCTAGAGCTTTCTTTGTAATTCTCCCAGTGTGGTCGCAGTAGTGCACGGGCGTCGTCCTCAAGTTGATTCGGTTGTTTCTCTTCAGACGGAGATCAAAGCTCTTGCCGTGTGCGTCAAATTGGTACCGTGCGTCAGGCTGGTCAGTGCCAAGCTCGCGCTCGACTGGGTCTGTCACCTCCCTAATGGTGACCACTTCGATGTCTAAAACATTGAAATAGTGACTTTATTCATTCGTTATTATTATTATTATTATTATCATTATTATTTCTAAAACATGTATTCATTATTATGTGAAATGCATCGTTTAAAGTTATAAAATTGCCTGCAAAAATAACGGATCACAACACATGATGAAAACAAAAAGGTGACATAAACGTGATTATTCAAGCAGGCGAAGCACTCTTGTTTCAGGAGTAGTCCCATTTTTATAATACAACCTTCTAAACTTAACTGTTGAAAATATGAAACACCAGACATAATAATAAAGCCGAAGATAAAAAGTTGGTATGTTTCAACAGACAGGAAAATCACATTTTCTAAAAGAAAATAAATTGAACAGCTCATAATTATGGCTTACTTTGGGAAAGGGCAGAGAGGGAGAGCGTCTGTAACTACAGGGCAGAATCCATTTCGTCAAGTGTGTCCAGCGTGTTATATATCAAAATCATGACACCTTAAAGGACGTAAACCCCAATTACATGTATCGTTGGTTTTCATGTTCTGGTTGACTTTCCTTCCATCACGAACAGGGCGTTGTTGTACAAAGGAAACCTTGACATCAAGGTTTAGCTCTTATGATTCCATTGTACGAGTCGTGATCTAAATTGTGTGAAAGGTACCCATGTTATGGGAGTTGTGTATTAACCATTAAGTAACATGGACACCCGGGTCTTATTACCATCACGACGCCACTAAAGAAGTATGGGCCAGAAGTGCATAGGTCTACAGCTATGAGGCCATTCAGAATGAGAAGAGACGAGTGCTAGCTAGGTCACGACCTAAATATTACGGACCTACATGAAAGGAAGGCCGCTTAATCCTGTAATGGGTTCTCCGCCTCTCACACGCCTCCCCATGCGCCGTCCCAGCAGGGGCACGGTAATTAAATCTCGGCTTAATTCAACCGGTCTAGACTTAGGTCGTGGCCCATATTTAGGTCGTGCCCTAGCTAGCACTCGGCTCTTCTCATTCTGAATGGCCTCCTTGTTAGCTGTGGAAACGTACTACTTGTACCATTGTAAGCAATCTGATGTGGATATGCGTCAGCGAAAGTACCCTCTGTACTAATCTGCATGTCAATACATTTCTTTATCTCTAGCGGCAGTGGTGATATCCCATACCTAATATCCACCACGGTAATATCCACCACCCAAAAGTAAAGATCACATTTATATGTCTGTGTGCCTATATCTGGTGTAAAGCTTCGGAAAAGCTGGGCAAATCAAATGTCATTTCATATGCTTCTTTAAGATTCTCTATTAACCGTGTGAAAAATCAGGAGACCGAATGCCAGTTTATTGGCGCACATTATAAGACTTCCACAACAAGTGAAATATAATGGAAAATAATAGGGATATAGTCTGTGCATTTGCCAGGGTAAAATCACCAAAAGAAAAGGATCAGCATGTGGCAGACCCTACCCTCAGGATGCGCACCGACCCACGCAGCCAAATTATACGAGTTCTAGAACACACTAACGACGCATTGATCCCGCTTGTTTACATTGTTAAACCAGAGCGTAATTGGCTGGTCAACCACCTGTATCAGATTGCTGCCCGGATGACCAGTGCTAAACCACTTTATGACAACATCGAGACAAGGGCACAAGTATGCAGTGATGCAATAATCTATTGTAATTAACCTTGTTTTCGGCACGTGGCTGCTGGTATTCTTCCACGAATTTCTCCGGGTGCGGCTGCACAAACGAAGCTGAAAGTGTCTATGAACCAGATTTCGTTTTTAGACAATATACCAAAATGAGGATGGCTTCAGCTATCAAATTATTAATTTTTGGAATAAAAAAATCAATCGTGTCAAAATTAAGCAAATCTTAATTTTCATAAACTGTAACATCTGACATATCTTTGTCTGTGAGAAATGAATAAGAAGTTTTAAGTATTTGCACATACATTTGCTACTTTATGGATCGAACATTTGGCGTACGGTAGTTTTGGAGGTATTTACTTCTATGCATTACGGTGAAATAGTTTTAAACCATACAGCATTTGGATTTGCGCGTGTGGCGCTCCTTCGAGTTAAAGGTGCGCCCTCGCCTCTTATTACTCCATACGTTCGTGTGCATTTAAATTGGGTTATTGATCAAATCCACAGTGAAGTTATTATAAAATATTAAGAAAAACCAAAATTGAAAATCAGAATATTCCGCTCTGTTCTCTGCGGCGTTTTGATTTATTTTCCCGAAAGTTCAGTATCATCAAAATAAATTTTTTACTACACATTTTTACATATTTTTTAATAACTTATGTTCCAAAAATGTTATATAACACTCAACAATATAATCGTAAATAACCTGTATCCCAGCTAAGGTACTAGTGACCTCTTTATCAGGCCTTACAAACGGATTAGGCTGGCGTTTACTAACACTACCCGCAGCTCTTTTAGCACCAACACCTACACTAACCACCATACCCACAAATTAACCAGCACTACCAGAGCAGATGAAAGTAAGTGCTAGGTATCGCTTTGTTGGTGCTAAATAATTGCACGGTGTGTTGGTTAATTCGTGGGTTATGTTGTTAATATGAGCGTTAGTGCTGAAAGATCTGCGGGTATATAGTGTTAGCAAACGCCTAATCCGTTTAAAAGGCCTGATTATGCCGCAAGAGAAAACATCGTGTCACGCCTATGTCTAGACATTTTCTCACACAGTACATATTGAATCGCTCTTAACTGCCTTCAGTTTCACAATTTAACTAATTTTGCAAGTCTAAAGAGAGACGTGCAATATACCGTAAGTACGTGTACTTAGGTCAATGAACCAGAAAATTCTCCCCATTTATTAAATATTTCATTTTCAAGATTTTAACATAAGTTGACATTATAATTATATAATCCTTCGCACACGAAGGTACATTACTTATGTTACAATAGCTTAAACAGTCACAGATTAGTTATTACGTATTAAATGTAAACATGTTAAACAATGTACAGCATGCAACATGGTTTCTAAAGATATCCCCACAGACTAATACAACGTGAAAAGCTTCGTGATTTACTCCAAGTATATTTACACAAAATATATGTGTTAGATGGAGCGTGCGACCGCCAGGTAAAATTCGATACTTCCAGAGGGGATATATAAGCAGATTTAGTTCAATGAGCTATCATTTCTTTTCTAAACAAATACACTTTCCACTTTATTTCCTATGGTGTCGAGAGCGTATAATTTAGAACCCTAGACCAAGATGTTCTTCTGTCATGTCAGTTTCCCGAACTTTTCACATTCACCTTATTGTCAAGACCTTTTTGAGGGAGGGGGTGTCCTTCACTTTTGGTGAAATCTCTACCTTAGTAAATTCCATTATTTCGATTCTAGTGTATACGTGTACATGAACGTGCATCATTGTTGAAAACGCAACATACTGCTTTCCCTTTGTTTCAATAGCGCAGTTGGAGGAGGTATTGTGCTATTAGTATTATAATAGGTGTGGCATGTGTATGGTATTTCAATTTATAAAGATTATGGTCGTGCTAATAGAAATGCAACAAAAATTGTCATTCATTCAGCATTTTGCCAAACCAGGCCTAATTAATTTGCAAATCTGGGCTTAAACTGTCTTCAAGATCCTCTAACAAAGTGATCTGTATTTTTTCTATATTTCCATAGAATTTTGATCAAGGTTTTGATATGCCTTTTCATTATTCTACTAGGAACCATACACTTTTTCAATAGTTGTCACATCGCATAAACAGTGCTAAAAGAAGGGACGACCTGTATACACGATATGACGACTACTCAGCACGAAGTTGTTTTGCCAGTATGAACAATTGCAAGACGTGGTGTGAAAAAAGTAAATCCACAGAACTCATCTGCACATTTGGTAAGATAAGAAATTATTCGACGTACCTTCGTTATTTATATGTGCCGCTTGCCGCAGTTTGATCCCTGCAACCAACAGTACGGCGAGGCAAAGTGCTCCTCCCTTCATATTGCTCTGGTGTGCTGTCCTTTCATACAACTCACAAGACTGACAGTCGCTTCCAAAAATGCACTATTTATTTGACCACTGACCACTTTACCTCGCACTGACCCTTTTACACGTATGCACTAAATCGTTTGTGTAATTACGCAAGAGAAGGGGGTCAAATGACATTTATGACGGGCTTGGTATGGTCGACTTTGTATGGTGGAGTGTGCGGGCGTTACTAAATCGCGCAGCCTTGAAGATGATTCCTTTTGATATAATATTCTGTAGAATATGTCGATATTAACCCCGAAAGAATACAATTAAAAGTGTCTAAAGATTATTTATATACAGATTAGGTATGTAATATGATATAAGTAAGCAACAAGTGTTCCTTTTCTAAATGATGATAATGATGATGATGATGATGGTCATAAAGGCGATGCGGTTTGTAATAACGACTGGAAGATAAGATATGCTTTTCCTTGCCGCAAACCCCAATTCCTTGTTTTATGCGAGTCTCTGATGGACGTGCTTTCATTTTCTTTTGTGTAAGAATGGTAAAATCGTTTCTACGTTTCTTGTCTCAAATGTTGTCAGACTCACCCCTTTTTGGACAGGTTCCAGAATAAACGCCATTATCAAATAAAACTGGTTACGTGATAGATACAATACGAGTCGCCGAGCTATACGTGAAATATTACGAGTGTATTGGCGAGCCGCAGGCGAGACAATACACGAGTAATTTTCACGTACATCTCGGCGACGAGTGTTGTATCTGGCTTAAACCACGGCCTCTGATTGGCTACTACACTAGTAGTGCAACATGACGTGCTTGTATGTCGAATACAGCACGGCCGAGTCTTTTGTTCTACGCGCTAGCCGTGGTTTAAAATATAATCCGGACAAGGCCAGGCATACGTGATAAGTTGTTTAACTATTTGTGGCTTTCTGCCAACAAGTTAGGTGGCTGGATTGTACTTTTTTCATATAGTCTGAACTTAATCGGCGGTTGGTCGGTCTTTTTTTTTTTCAGTTTTATTCTAGGGAGATAAATGTCTAATCCACATCGTATAAAACAACAAATCATTTTTTTCTGGGTCAAGCAGTAAATTTCTTCCGCTTACTCGTACCAAACCAACATCCAGTGCTATTTTCCAAAACGGGTGTAAAATCTGACTACCTCAAACTTAGGGTCGATGGCCTCGTAACCCATCTTGTCAAAATAGGCAAGTCCTTCTACGCTTTAACCAAAAAAACATTAAATTAATGAGCGCATGCAATGATTTAAACGAGCAGATGATGTCACAAATAAGCTCCTAGCGCCATTTGACATACCATATGACACAGGTTTAAGGCGGTATCATGAAGTGCTGTGTAAGAAGATAAAACAGTCAGAGGAATTTGTCCTCAGGAAATCGTTCAAGGCTGAAGAAATAAATAGGAGCAAGAGAGGGTGCCTGAACTTCTTTACAGTCTATTTGCATTGTTCTTAAAGTTGAGTTAAACATGAGCTTTCCCAAATCCAAGCATTGGCACGCATTCTGCTCTCCCTTGAATAACTACCACGGAATTTTCAGAGAGAGAGAGAGTTTGAGAGAGTTGGGTGGGGGGGGGGGGGGGGTAATTGATCCCTAGCATTCAGGCAGATGTTTCTTAGACCTATTATGGAATAGACATCCCCTATAGGCTGACAGTGAAATTATATTAATTTGATGGCAATCAAGGTCTAACAACTTAAATTGATACCACTTTGTTTCTCTAATGATGTATGAAATATGAAATACGCTGCACTCAAAATAACCACTTAATTAGTAAAAATAATGTTGCAAATGTATTTATTTAAAAATGTCAGAAAATTTGCTTGGTCTGTTGATCTGATAAGAAAAAACGTAATTCGACTATGTTTGTATCATTAGGTTGATTAAAAATTATTGAATTAATATTAGTCATAGCTGCTGTAGACGTCTCCTTGGCTAGACACACAACTTCCACATATCATAGACACAAGCGACCCCAGTGGCAGTAAAGTAAATTGAAATTTGACCTAAATTTACAAAAGCCAATCATATCTGTTTCTGACAGTAATTCCCATCTTGTAAAAGTTAAACGGACTTGCATTTGTGGGTTCTTTTCTTAACACATCAATCACAGCAACGTTTTTTTTTTTTTTTTTTTTTTTGTTTTTTTTTTGTTTGTTTTTTTATAAGAAACTTAGCAAAAGGATAATTTAATTGGTTTATGAACCCCCCGCGCGGCTGCTGCGATTGCCATTACTATCTGAAACTTAAAGGATGGTTACAGATGCTTGGAATGTGCAAGCAATTATGATATGGTTCATCGTCTTTAATATTCTCCGAAACGTTTCAAAGACTGAGTGATAAGATGAAAGAGTTCTTGGCCCTATTCTGTGGTAAGTGAAAGCAAGTGACACCTTCCGAAAATTCTGTTTCTCACAATTCATATTTTTTTTTTAAATTTTATCTCCTTATTCTAATCTTATAAACACCAAGGAGTAAGAAATAGCTGCAAAGAATGCTAAATTATTGGTATATTTGCATCTGCACTAAAGGTTTTTATTTTGGCACGAAAGCCACTAAAGCAGTAAGTATGAAATTCCTGATTTTCTCAAATTTAAAAGTTTAGCCTATAACGATGTTACTCTTTTTACTATAATGACAACACTTCTTAAAATTATGACCAATTTGCTCCAAAATACAGTAAAATACCAAAAAAATCTATTATTATGTATGTTTTTTAAACTCGTTTTTATCATCACCACGAATAATAAATAGGTAATTAATTCTGTAGTAAACATTTTGTTGAACATCACGCATACACATCCAGCCGCACTTGGAAATAACATTGTTCCTCAAAATAATTAAAGCAGAATTAAACGAAAATAAATGCAAGTAAGAAGTTCTGGGTATGACTTTTAAGACACAGTACCTTCTACGTTTTTTTTTTTTTTTTTTTTTTTTTTTTTTTTGGTTGTCTGGATAAATGAGATAAAATACGATAATAGCATATCTTTACTTTTTTGCGTAAACCGGTGTAACAGGAATGAAAGTCCGCTAGGAACCGTAGTCCGTTTCCCTTTACTTTGTACAGGTGACACTAGTCCCATATATTAACCCCAATACTCCAACTAACCCTTACCTATACTAATCATATGGGACCCCAGACTTCCATTCCTAGGACTTCCATTCCTGCCACACCTGATTTGATTATAGGAAATATACATGGTCATACATGGCCAGTCTGTCAGCTCAATGAGCTTGACAGGGACTCTTTGGTCCCCTTGACCTAGAAGCCATGTTCGATAGGTCCTAAGCTTGACCAAATCCATTTAAAACGCGCGTGTCGCGTGTATATTCGTTGAGGAAAGATGGATAGACTATCATTGCATAACCAAGTCCCAGTCCACTTGGTGGTCGCCTCCTAAGGGAAGTAGAAAGGTCGAGTTATAAAGCTGTGGTTAAATGCCTCAGACTCTCTTTTGGAAAAAAAGCAACTGTGCTCCATCTTTCACTTAATCGCCGATATAAATGGTTCTCACTTCTGAGTGTTTTTTTCACTGGACAGTTCTGAAAAAAATATTATTACTTGTATCTGTACATTTTCAGCAACTCTGTCGGGTGTGAAGTTATGAATAACTCATATATACTGCATACAAAGATTTCTTTCATTTGGTTTAATGGGTTTGTTTACAGTAACTGACAAAAACATGTTGACTAATGTATAAGTTATCCATTGCATAACTTGTGTACTTGCAAAGAATTCTAAATAGTAGTATTCATATACGTATACCGTCTCTACCACCTACAGATCCCCTTAGAGAAAAAGGCACTGAAATCGTTTGGTAGCTTCAAAAAAAGGGGAGATTTTTAAAATGTCTGTTGGTCTTTTCTGTAAATGATCTTTCTGCTGGCTGAGAGTATAAATTCCCTGAAAGTTCAAATTATTATCATCATTTCAAAGTAGTAAAATACTAATAACATTATCAAGAATTGAATTCCTTCGAAATTTCATTTTTATTATTGCTATTAATTTAATTTCATTCATTAACTTCTTTGGCGAATATAAGAGGCGAAATCAGTCGCCCCCTAGTAGGTTTTTTTCTTAAAACACCTAAAAACATGGCAGCTGTAATAACTTATGCAATAGTAGTGGACACTCCTGCCCACGTATAATAACTACTTTAGACGTGTCATGCGTAGTGCAGGGGAGAAAAGGACTTATCTCAGCTCCTTAGGGTCCATCAATTCACAATCCGTCCTTTGTCTCTTCCAGGCTCATATTGATAAGATCTGCAAATTAATATTTCAGATATTGCAGAGGTGGCCATTAGAGTCTATTAATTTTAATAAACAGATGGGTATATAAAATGGACTGATGACCAACACACGCAAACTTCGCCCAAACTAGTGTCAAATAAAGCAAAGCCAGCAGTACCAGTCTGTTTGTTGAAATTGGTACTTGCTGGTTTCTGAAGATGTTACGGATTTCTTCCTCCTGTTCTTATGTGTTATGTTTCATAACGTTGCTGACACTTGCGGTGATTAACTGCCACGGGCGGGTGACCTTGGAGATAGATTCAAATACAAGTAAGTTGATAAGTCATTCGTTTTTTATCGGAACTTTCTATTGTTATGATGTAGTGTAGAAGTGCAATTGCTTGTGGAGGGATGAATTTAACGTTATTTTGACATTTGTCTAAGTATTCAAATACAGGCACACACGCGTGTTGTGTTACTTTAGAAAAACAATCAAGGCAAAGGTTAATTGTGTCAAGTATTTCAACGGAAAGTAGGTATAATGTGTTTGATAGTTGCAGAAAGCCGATATGATACAGATTCCCAATGTAAAACATCGCAAAGCATTGGAAATTTGAACACATCATTTAATATGACTAAAATCGGTTTACCAGAAATGGTCCTCGATTTATAGAAAAACTCGCTTTCCGTTTCAAAGTACGATATTGTGTTATTACTGTCAAAATTCTTTTCTTTTCAACTTTTCTTTACTATTAATTTGCATGCCTTCTAGAGCAATTTGAAATACAAAATGATCGGCCCCGCCTTCAGTGAAGGTAAAAACATGGTTGAGAATATTCTAATATACCCCTTAATCTAATTCTGTTGATCGTTGTCGATGTCGATATGTAGCGAGATAAGTATAATAAGCAGACTCAACTTTATGAATCCTCAGGTGCTGGTAGGCGTTAAGATTTTATCACGCTAACTTACAAATGTAAATGGGAGGTTTGTATCTAGCGTGGGCAAATAGTATGAAATTGGTGGCGCGATAAGTTCTTAGTCAGTTGGCTAATACTTGACTTTAGCAAGTCTGATAAGCAGAAGTGCAGTTTTTGTTCAAAAATAGAATGATTTCGTGAAAAGCTGTCATGGTGAAAGAAGTGCACGGTATTAAAAGGGAGTGTCAAATTGTTCACATATCATTCATTCACCGGAGAGGTCAGTGCAATCTAAGCATCCCAATTAAGTAAATCTTGTCTTCAATAAAAATACCCAGAAGGTATAATTAAACTGAAGGAAATTAATGGGGTTTGACGGAAAGATTAGTGTTGTCCCCTATTACTTCTGTCAGTATCATGTGCGCCAAGATTTTCGTATTCACATGTGATGTATTGTCAAGAAACATAATACCGTCCAAAAGAGACATAATAACGTTCAAAACAGGTATGACAGCATAATGCTATGTTTGCTGACAGTAATGATATTAAGATTTCAAAATGAAGGGCTAGATACAGTGTAATAAAAACTTTATGGAGAGTCACTTTCTTAAAACATGAAATGTTTACGTGTGGAACCTTCACTGAACGTTCTATCGTGTCACGTGTCACTTTGTTTTCAACTAGAGGCCGAGTTCGTCACCCTCAGACACGTGACCGACGTCAACGAGATAGACAGTCTCGCTGAACGAGAACTGGAGAACATAAAAGACCACCAACAGAATTTGCGGTACCAATTTAATGCTCACGGCAAGGATTTTGATCTCCGGTTGGTAAAGAATGGCCGTATCAAACCGGCAAAGATATCGCAGCTCTACGTGGAAGAGGACGGTAAACTGGTGACAAAGTCTCTTGGTAGCAATGACGTAAGTCGTTTGTCGTCCTTGATAGTTCAAATTGTGCACTTTGACCCTGCTCTTGCTGTCACAGTAAATACAGTACTTAAGGGCAAACATATTACATTGACAGATAAACAACTGCAACTAAACGTATGTGCCTGCTTTTAAGATCATTTCACAACATAAAATCTTGTCGATAAAAAAAACATTCGATGATTCTTTCCTAATTTGAAATTATCTTCAATAACTTATTGATTTGATACTTTGAAATAACAACATAAATGTCATGACAAAGTGTGTTGTATTACAGGATTTTGCTCTTTATCAAGATAAAGACTCCAATGCAGCGGTGGCAGTTACCAAGGAAAATACACTGAAGAAAGTGGTAAGGAGAGATCAAATTTAATATATTTTGCGTGGGGTGATAGTGATATATCGGAAATTGCTCGAGTTGGGAGACAGAAAAAAAACATTATAAAAAGACCTACTGCTTCCTTTTAGGTGTTTTATGCAAGACCATTCTACGGCGTATCAATTAATCGAATAGAATACAGCATTTGGAGGTGAAATATACATGAACTGGAAAATGTTCTCGCCCTACTTCAATCGGTTTCTTTAGATATCAACCAACTTTACCGAAAGGACATAATGCATTAACTTTTTTTGCCTTGACCATGTTTTTAGGAAGGTTTTGTGATGGAGAAGGATGCTTTTTACGAGCTGCGACCCGTTGAAGATGACAAATATATGGTTTTAAGACACCAAATTGACCATACCGTTGCTGAACGGGCAGAAGCTATGGATGACGCAGGTGAGGGTTTTATTTGTTTGAAAAAAAAAAAACAATTTCTGGTTTATATCCACAAAAGACCTTTAATGATTTTTGGCGTTTTTACGCATATGCAATCACCATTAATTCAAAACCTTTTTGAGAAGTTTTCTATTTATAAAGGTACTTAATATTCCCTTTTTTTAATTCATCACTACCTTTATGCATGCATGCATAGATGTCGCACGATCAAGTAAAAATGTTTCTTAATTGTAATCACTATTCCAAAGTACACTAAAACTGAACAATTAGAAATGAGAAATTTATACATTTGTAAAATGTATGGAGCCGATTGTGATGTACATGTAAGACATTTACGTTTTTTTTTTTCATCTCAGTGCCATTAAGTGTCCGAGAAGTGAAACTAGATCGAGCTAAGCGATCTTCGGCAGCAGACTCAAAGCTCCTCCATTCCCTTCTGGAAGTTTTGGAGAAAGTTAACGCCAAGAGAACCGAGAAAGAAGTTGAACTGAGGTCAAACAAGGCTTTCACGGAGGGCCATATAGACGCCGCTATTGAACTTCTAATTTGCACTGATGATACTATCTGGGACTATTTTATGAAGCGCAATAATCAAGTTGCCTCGGCGGCGGAGGCCGAGCTGAGGAAATACTATTCGTTAATTGCGAACGGGGTAGGTGTTACTCACACGTGTCACTCACAGGTGTCACGTGTACGTGTTTTGCATATACGCATACGAATGAACATTTAATCAATATATATGTGCTTTTAATCTTGATTATTGTTATGATATGCGGGATCTTGGTGTCTGTTGTCATAATTAAATATATATAAAATATAGACAGCATTTTTTTCACACACTTTACTCAAGTATATATATATAGAAAAATTTGTGCGCTTGTTACTTGAAAATACATTTTTTTTTCAAAAAATTTTCTTATCGCACTGAGAAGGGTGGGGTGAAAAGAGACATGCCATTTTCTTATTGATATTCTTGATCCTTCAGTTTTCCTATTTCCACTAGAGCAAATCCATGCAAAGAACGCAAAGAGGACATGTAAACACTTGCAGGCAAGATACTAAAAAACAGAAAGCGTTTCAAATTTTTAATACACCTACAACTATTCGTAATTTTTACAGATAGATCTTCGTTACCAGAACATAGATGACCCAGATTTGAATATCTACATCGTACTATCGGCTATCATAATTGTGAAGGTAAGTTTGTCTCTGGCACGGAAATTTACATGCAAAGAGCATGCAAACGTTTCTGCTACTTAGTGAACGAAAACCTTAAGACCACGTGACTGCCACGTCACCAAAACGTCAAAAAGTCACACGGTGTAAGGTGATGAAAACACTTTCAACCTGATGTGTTTGATGGGATTTCAGTGTACAATGCCGACATCCAAGTGCAACGGCACACGTTGCTACCAAGTATGCATAGCTTTTTGGTTTGTCTTTAATTTTTCAACCTCTGTCCATGGTCTAGAATGAANTAGCCCAAAAACTTTTAAGATAAAAGTCCAACCTGGATCCCCCTAGCGGTCAGTGAGAAACATCTTCTCACATCTGTCTAATGAGGGCCTACGTCCATGTTGGTCGTAGGCCAACGGTATGAAAGTTTTCCGGCTTCAAGATTTTTTTAATTTCTATTTTATTCTTAATCGGGCCTTTTTGTTTAGAATTCTGACCAATTCCATGCTTGTTCAAGCTGTTTCACGGTTTTGTGCTAGCTATACAAAGACGCGCGTTGCTAGTTTATTTGTCTCGTACAGGTGTACCATGAAAATCTGACTCCCCTAAAATGTGACTCCCAGTCAGATTTTCATAATGAAAATGTGACTCCCCCCCAAAAAAAACATTCATTAATCTCATTTTATTTGAGTAAATGACTATGATCTTATAGTATGCATAATGGAGGATACATTGGCACTTTTTTGTAGTTTGCAGGTGAAAATTTTCATGAAAAAAAAAGAAAAGGTTATTAAAAATGTGCACATAATGAAAATCTGACTCCCCCCGTGAAAATTTGAATTCCCCTCCACAAAACTTCATAAATCTTATTTTATTTTGAGTATATGACTGTGATCTTGTAGTATGTAAAATGGAGGATACATTGGCACTTGATGACCATTTCTACATCTTTCCCTTAAGGATACTTTATTAAGATCATATTGGAAGTACTTGAAAGTTTGATGGTAAAAAATTGGGTGAATAAAAAAACACATTAAAAATAGAAATTAAAGATATATATTCTAACACCCAATGACTCCCCTATGAAAAAGCTATTTATTTGATATTTCATGATCATTCTGACAGCTTTTCTTTGAGGATACTTTATGAAGAGTTTATTGAAAGTACTTGAAAGTTTGATGGTTAAAAAACTGAGTGAAAAAAAAAACATGAAAATAAAAAAAATTAAGGATTTGTATTCTAACACCCAATGACTCCCCTAAGAAAAAGCTATTTATTTGATATTTGATGATCATTCTGACAGCTTTTCTTTTAGGATACTTTATGAAGAATTTATTGAAAGTACTTGAAAGTTGGATGGTTAAAAAACTGAGTGAAAATAATAATAATAATAATAATAAAAAACTGAGTGAAAATAAGAAAAAATAAGGATTTGTATTCTAACACCCAATGACTCCCCTAAGAAAAAGATATTTATTTGATATTTGATTATCATTCTGACCGCTTTTCTTTTAGGATACTTTATGAAAAAATTATTGGAAATATTTAAAAGTTTTATGGGAAAATACTGGGTGAAAATAAATGAAAAAAATAATGAAAAGCTTCATTTTCATATGCATGGGATTTGGACTCCTATAGGTTCCAATTAGGAAAAGGCCCCATTTTATATTTGCTGTTGTTTTTCCAATTTTTTCCCAAAGCTGAATGAAAAATAGGGATTGATGATTTTAAATGGATAATAAATTTGCATTCATGTACCCGTTGGATTTTGACTCCCCTAGTTAAAAGCGCTTATTTCATATTTAGCACACATTTAAATGTTTTTACTTTTTAGTTTTCTTTATGGAGAACATATTTGGAAGTATTAAAATTTTTGTGGGTAAAAAGTTTTGCATAAAGTGTTCGAAATTTAAAAATAGTGAGAAATTCAGTATAATATTTATTTTTACACCCATGAAAAGGACAATTATTTTATATTCAGTCATTATATCACTATTTTCCACAAAGTTTTCATTGTATATATATAATGATAACTTTGCACACTAAGCTATATGAAAATGAAAATTGTTATGTGTCATATCAGAAAAGAATATTGGTGACAATATGAAATAGGTCCTTTTCTTCATGGGAGTCCAAATCTCATGGGTATAAAAATAAAGATTTTCATGATTTCTTTTTCATTCTTTCACTCCAATATATTTTTCATAAAGTATCCTAAAAGGAAAGGTGTTGAAATGATGATCAAATATTAGATAGATAGCTTTTTCATAGGGGAGGCAATGGGCGGTTAAGTGCACATTATTAATTTTCATGAAAATTTTCACCTGCAAACTACAAAAAATGTGCCGATATGTCCTCCATTTTACATACTACAAGATCACAGTCATATACTCAAAATAAAATAAGATTTATGAAGTTTATGAAGTCAAATTTTCATGGGGGAGTCAGATTTTCATTATGTGCACATTTTTAATTTTCTTATTTTTTCATGAAAAACTTCACCTGCAAACTACAAAAAAGTGCCAATGTATCCTCTATTTTACTTACTACAAGATCACAGTCATATACTCAAATTAAAATAAGATTTATGAAGTTTTGTGGAGGGGGAGTCAGATTTTCATGGGAGTCAGATTTTCATGTTACACCTGTAAACCCCATCCCTAGGTCACTCCATAATGATTCATGGGTAGCAAAAGCTACTTTTAATGACCAAATGTTTCCTTTTCTTTTTTTAGTGTATTCCGCTTCATCTGAAGATTTTAATTAGTGTTTAGGAGCTGAGGTAAAATATGATGGTAATAGCAAATACGTCGAATATTTATTGAAGTGAGCCAGAAAATATCCATTTGTGGTAAACGTTGAGCATAAAACCCTCAAAGGCTAAATAATTAAATCAATTTTTACTGTGTTCTATCAAATTAGAGATTAAATGTATCTTAAGTGTCAAAGGGAATTCTGCATTTGTGGAAAATCAACTTTTAAATCATATTCTGTAACCGTTTAAGTGATTTAAAAGTAAAATGATATTTTAGTATACGATGGGACCACAAATACACCATAAATATTGATTTTTTATACTTAGCATTTCAAAATGAGCATTAAGGTTCCTTTGTCAGTCTTTCTCTGTATGTCTTCCTCTTCTTGATTTGCACAATCCTAATAAACAAACAAACACAATTAAAATTACAACGTTGCCCTATAATTATAAAATAAGATCCAATTTACATGTGTACAGAATACATCAAACTTGTTAGGCCTTACCCCTCCTTCGTAGTCATGTAACAAAAAATATTCTTAAAAATTATTGTTTTAAATGACAATATGTTGTAAGGTACAGTATTTTAAATACAGACTGTTAGTACCATGTATCTAATCAAGCCACATAAGTTATGTGTTACCGCGTTAACCTATTTGTGATTAGGGAGAAATTTACCTGTACTGGAGAGACAGCTCTTGTATTTGAACGTTAACGTTGCTGGTGAGTTGGGATGAAAACTGTGGTTTTGTCCACCTCGTAGATTCTTCAAATAGACTGCACGTGTGAATGCAGTATTATTTTCCTGATTTGGGGGGATAAGTTAATCACACTATTATATTGACACACCTTCTTTTTACGATATTCCGGGAATGGGTAAGTATCAAATATTACTTAAAATACATCAAGTAACAATAATTGTGTCACATTTTAGAAGATACCTCTCACTCTTTTACATATACTGAATGTAACAATTTACCAGATTTTAGGTCATTTTCATCATCTCATGTAGGACATTTGAGAAAAATAGACATTCATTCCTGATACCCTTTACCCCCTACCCCTGGCAAACACCAGTTCAGAGCTGGTGAGGGTCGGGCCAGTCTTTTCTCACGTCTGGACTGATACTGAAGCATTTTTACGACACACACATACATGTAATCAGAAAGATTTAAACTTAATTAGAATATAAAAATTACACAGATGTGTTTTTTTTCAATCAATGCTACGAAGGCATACCTTAACGTGTTCATTTCTTAACTTCGGCTAGCTTTCACCCTGCGGAATATTAACAAAAGTGAAAATAATAGGAGAAAATCAATATAGTGCAATTACGACCACTTGGTTGCGGATAGTAGTAGGAGTAGTAGCAGTAGCAGAAGCAGCTTACACCCATTCTATCAGTCTCCACGTTATGTATCAATACATATTTTCATAGAGCATGTGTTGCTATCGCTGGTTTCAGCAGTGTATTCTCTTTCATCTGAAGATTGTTGATATGAGGAGAGGTACAATACGATAAAAATAGCAATGACCTCGCATATCTATAATGATGTGGATGGGTCGGACAGCTTCTATTTGTCCATAATCTTTGAACATAAATATATCAGTGTATAAATAATAAACCGGCGTCATGTACGCTATCTAATTTCAAGATTAAATTATCTGTTAACATCGGTATGATGTGGATGGGTCGGACAGCTTCTATTTGTCCATAATCTTTGAACATAAATATATCAGTGTATGAATAATTAAACCGGCGTCCTGTACGCTATCTAATTTCAAGATTAAATTATCTGTTAACATCGGTATTATCTTGGACAGTCATAACTTTAGATGTTGGATCTCTCTAGGCTCAGTCTGACATTTCTATCATCTAAGATTGGCTATCAAAATTTTAAAAAATGTTAAAATGAGGCCAAATGAACGTGTTTCTGCTTAGTCTTTCTACATCGGTTTTCACTAACTTGGTTTTCACATTTTTCTTCATTGCCATCACTTAATGACAGTACTTGGCTTTTATCATACAGAACCACAAATCTACGTCTTTTCAGGTCACGACATATTTACTCTGCCTCGTGCTTACCCTCGTGGCCATTGAGCAGATTCCTTTTGGTGAATATTTCCTCTCTAATTGCAAATAACTCCCCGTTATATTGTAGGTACAGAATACAAATACAGATGAAATGGAACAGATCAGAGTCGTATTATGCCATATGAGCAACCCGTTACTGGGTTAACCTATTTGCGGTCAATTAGAAATGTATCTTCAGCTACGTGCTGGTGTAATATTGTAAAGCGCTGCCTTTATATTGTATCATGTATAATATCTGTGAAGCAGGTGACAGTTTGTCAAATATTGACTGTCTTCTCGTGGTAAATTCTTTAAACGTTTCACCTGACGTTCAGATGAGAAGTGCAACATATCAAACTATTTTCTTAAATGGATTCGCCAGTACAACAATATTTTTACAGAACTGCTGAGCATCAGACTGTAGCAACTTTCCATAAATAATTCAGCAAACTGACACAATTGGATTTGCGGCCACTATTGCACCATAATACATAAGGATGTAATAAATTGTGCTTTAACTGTATGTATAATTTCTAAAACAAGTAATATAAGCTTGCCTTGTTTCCCTGAGTTGCATGGTGTAATGCACAAATACATGCACATACTGAACATGGAATAACCTCACCACGAAAATCCAACATTTAAACTCCTTACTAGTGCATCATATACATGTAGGGTAACGATAGATGACAGTGTTGCAGTGTCCTCTGTCAGCATACTGTCTCCAGGAAGAATGATGTTTGTCTGATGATGATATATAAGTATGCAGGCAAGATGGAGATTAACATAAATGCAATTTGACTTATTTAACTTAAGTTATTTACTGTTATTTACTTAAGTTATTTACTTGTGTGTCTGTTGATCAAAAAATTGTTTTTAGTAGCTATATTTGTGGTTCTACATTTGAAAAAATTGATCTGTTTACTATGTCATTAGATGTCCTTTTCAGTTTGAGTGACATTTATCCATTTATTGTTACAGAAGACAGGGTTTTTTTATGGACAATTTGTTTTAGTAAATATATTTTTGTGGTTTCATGTTATCTGACGTGTTTCGGTGAGGGCACTTTAATTAAATACAGACTCAGTTATTATTATTATTATTATTATTATTATTATTATTATTATTATTATTATTATATGTTTAAGGGAATGCATAGATTATGTGTCTGTATTCAGATTTCAATACCTCAAATGAGCGAAATATTTTCTTTTTTGAATGTGTATTTTTACGGGGGCTTACTCAGTTCCAGCGTTCCTGAACAAAGAGGGTTAAATGACAGATTGTTGACATTCGTTTTCTGGTTATTAAGCATATGAAAACAAGAAAAAGCGGTGACCAGACTGAGGGAGAAAACAATTGCCAGAAAGTTACACATTCGAGCAGAAAACGAGTGAGTGATCATGAAGGGCAGAAACCACTAAGGCTTCGTTCACATGCAATGTCTATTTTCTAAATTCTATTTTCTATTCGCGCTATCTTATGATCACGGTCTGTGCCCTGAATATCCCGCGG